AAGAAGACAGAAGAAGAAGGGAAATCAGGCAAACAACAGTAAGGAAAAAAATAATTTAATAACTAAGAAAAGGACAGGAAGATCAAAACACGAGAAAAGAAAACATAACAAAATAAACAAAAGTAGGGATGGGAAAACAATAGAAAATGGAAATAGTAAAGAAAAAATGACCAAAAAGCCCCCAACAAGCCAAACCCCCAAACACAGAAGGAAGGGGCAAAGAAATGAAAAATAAGGAAAAATAAAAAGTAAGAAAGGAAGGATAAAAGCAAGGTGAGGGTAGGGGTGTGGTGGTGGTGGGCCCCAAAGAACGAGTGAAACTGGAGTGGGGCAGGACCCCCAGAAGGGCGCTCAGCATGGGTTCATGCCTTCTTATTACCCAGGGAGCACGCAGGGTGGGGGGAGGAGTGACGGCTTGGAATGTTTGGTCCCAGACATTGTTTCTGCTGCCCAGAGGAGTCCTGCCTTCAGGAGCCTGCCCTGGAAGTCATTTGTGCCAGCTCAGAGGGTGACTGAGATCAGGATGCTTGGTCCTAGAAGCAACTCGTTTGGGCCCAGATGTGAACAGAGTGGTGTTGACGGAGTTCTAGCCAGTAAAAAGGTGGCTGGGGGCTGGTCACTCATCCAACACTAAATGCCCGGCTGGTCGGGTGGGGCAGAGGAGGGTACGGGAGGGTGGCAGATGTCTACCATCCAGCCCATGAGCATGCGGGGGGCAGGGTAGGGGCTGTGCAGAGGGTGGTGTTACCGGCCCCTGGATGGGTGAAGAGGGGACTGACCACACTTCCGGTCATCCTGAGAGTGTGAGCAACAAGAGAATCCCACTTTCTGAGCACCGATCAATCGGTGGGTGTTTGTGCTGTCCCAGGCCACCGTCCACCACGAATTCTGCAAAAGCCCCAAATTCCAGAGCTGTGTCAGGCCAACTGACCACTGGCCCGTTTCATCGGTCTTCTCTGGCATCATGTTTGTGTAGCGGTTGTGCCCTACCTGCTCCGTATCCACGCCGCCGCATCTCGGTGCTCTGCTCCGAAGGGAAGGGTTCCCGGATTGTCTGCTTCATTTGGTCCCTCGTGTCTTTGTTGTGGACGGTCTGGAGAGATGTCCACCCAAGACGCCGTCTTGCCCCCTCCGTCTTGCTC